CTGGGCTGACATAACATATCACTCAATAAAACAATTTTTTTCTGCCAAAAAACAATTTTACTCAACAATATAATATCCTTCAAGGACAATACAATCGTTGCAACGCTTCTCTAACTTCTCGATGCCGTTCTTGTAGAAGGATTTGTCTTTTACCTCAAAACAGGCCTCAGTTTCAGCAATTACTTCTTTATTTGAGATGAATTTCTTACCGGCGAGCATTTTTTTGTGATCAGCGATTAAGCGGTAGTCGCTGGGGCCAGATCTGGACTATGCGGTGAATGTGGAAGCAATTCGAATTGTATTCAGTACAATTTTGCCATCATTTTTTTGACTTGTGATAAGGTGCATGGTCTTGGTGAAAATTTTCACAATTTCTGGTTTCAAACGAGATAGTCAACGAAGATCATACCATGTGCATCCCAAAATACTGAAGCCATAACCTTCCCAGCTGACTGTTGTGCTTTTGGACGCTTCGGACGTGGTTCACCGGCTACAGTCCACTCAGATGATGATCGTTTTGATTCCGGAGTGAAGTCATGAATCCATGTTTCATCCATTATCACATATCGACGCAAAAAATCTGATTAATTACGTGTAAACATTGCCAAACACTGCTCTGAATCATCAACACGTTTTTGTTTTTGATCGACTGTGAGTAAACGCGGCACCCACTTTGAAAAGAGCTTTCTCATGGTCAAATCTTCACGCAGAATTGTAAACACACTGCCATCTGATATCTTTACGGTCTCAGTTATCTTACGCAATTTCAATTTACGATGAGATATAACCAATTTCTGGACTTTTTTAATCTTTTATGGAGTAACCACCTCAATTAGACGATCAAAACGTTCACCATCATCGGTGTCTGTACGACCACGTTTAACTTCAGCAAACCAATAATAAATGGTTCTTTTGGGTGGAGCAGAGTCCGGATAACACTTTTGAAGCCATTGCTGAGCTTGTACAGTATTTTTTTTCATTAAGAAGCAATGATAAATTAACACACGAAATTGTTTTGAATTCATTGTTTTGAAAATAACAAAAGTAGCTTCACTTAAATGGCTGCCACTTTTTTTCTGACTAATCGAAATTCATGAAGTTTTACACATAGTCTTTTGAAGGTTGGTACTTCATAAACGTTATTTGGATTTGAAAATGGCAGCGCCATCTGTGTGTCAGTCGCACGACTTATTGATTGATGTAATAACACACATTTTATTTCATTGTCAACTATATTACGACTACACTATGATGTAAAATGATTTTCAGTTCATTTTACACAGCGGGGCGTTCTTTTACAGTAACGCTTAGTATGGCCATAGCGCAGACAACGAGAGCATTGCGGAATTTCGCTTTTTTTCTTGGAGCTTTAAATGTAATTATTGTGTGCAGTAGGCTGTTACAGTTAAAAATACTCTTATTTGTATCTGTCAGTTTCAAACCAATGAAAAATAACGGGTGTGGATTTTTGGTTATTTGCTGACGTATATTTCTTATGTTGGCCACCTTAAAGCCTAAACTATTTATCGCGTCTTCGATTTCATCGCCTGGCATAGAAGGATGCATGCCTCTCAATTCAACGTTAAATCTTCTGTCTTGTTTGAGTTTGTAAGTATGAAACTCGGTTTTTTTTGGCTTCAAGAGCCATAGTGATAACGGTATTTTTCTATAAATACAGCCTATTTTCACCTCATTGCTAAGAAGTATTTTTATATATATTCGTTAGGGGCTATTTCATTCAGAAGCTGCCTTAATGGTTGTATATTAATCACTCCTGCAACAAATATTGGGGGAGGCTTTGAGATTATAATTTTTTCATTTTGCTCGTTGGGCTTTTCTGATGAATGAGAGTCTTCATCTAGCACGGAATATCGGTTAGAGTTTTTTTGGGTTCAGTTGACAACCAATAGGTATCCAGCTTCTTTTGTTTGATATATGATCTTTGACGAGCTCCTTGGGGACTTGAACGACTTCTTTTTGACGTTGCCATTCTGGTTGTGGAGTTTCACCAGGGATTTTTCTACGAATAGAAGTGTTTGTTGGCGTGCTTTTGACGCTACTTACCGATTGAGTGTCGCTTTCTTCATCACCAGTATATTTCCACTTTTTTTTGGTTCAAATTGGTGTTGTTTGCGTTTTTTGATGAGAAACTTGTTGAATTATTAATTAATTTTATTTTGTTAGCTATAGCTACTGACTATTTTTTGATATATTTCCTTCAGTAAATGCTTTATGTAAAGGTTTGGTTCTGGATTGTTCATTTATTTTAACGTCTTCTGTACTTAGCATTATATAGCCATTTAAGCCATTTTCACTAATATGAGAATGCCGTCGTATAACTTTTTCACAATCGCTCATATAATAGTTTTTCAATATATTTGCAGTTTGTTCATTTAATTATTTAAAATTTTATATTTATAATTAAATAAAATTTATTTTTATTCAAGTTTTTTAAAAACACTTGAAACTTATACTGTGGCAACACCACATTTACTTTAGCGTTTAAAATCGGGCACCATTTTTGATAATTTTATTTTATTTATGATCAATAGCTTGATTATTCATACATTGAAATATAAAATTAACTTTTTCCTATTAAAAAAAAACAAAACAATAAAATAGTTGCGGTGTGATCGCCTTTCGCGTCTTTCGATTGAAATATGAAGATTGTAAGACCCAAATTTTGCGCTAAAATATAGGCCCACAAACTAAACGAATGTAAATTACATAGTTAAATAAATATTTTTTTATAACGAACCCTGGTATACTCGCTGAGTATACCCCAGCTGTAGATAGGGCCGGAAAAGGTCGTTACAAGATTTAAACTGAATGAATTAAACAAGAATACATGAATATGTGATTACTCATAGCTACCTCAAATATTCTAAAGAAATTTCAATAAGCAGTTGTATGAGAAAGTAATGCTTATTTAATGATAGTACAAGAGTTTACACTCGATTTTTTTTTCCAATAAGGATGATTTAGGTGAAGTTCCATGCGCTAGGGAACATTGATTTTATATTTTTTTCAGGAGACATATTATATTGAAATATAGTTTTAAAAATTTTATAGGAAAACAGTGTCAGTGTTGAAAACAAATTATTTAATTAATTAATAACGCATTTAGGTCTAAATAACCCCATAGACTCAGCACAATCGAGTACATGGTAGCGCAGCCAAATTATTGCCAATAGACGAAACAAAAAACTATTTAAGATAGTAGGATTTATAAAAATAAAATTTTTTATTATTCCTAAAGATTTTATATTAAGAGGAAATTTAGACTAAAAGAAAGTTGATTTTTGTAATGGCTTACTTAACGAATAAATTTATTTATTTTTACTCAACACATTATAATTTGAACATAGGTGTTGAGCGTGGCAATTTCAATGCTTTTTTTATTTGTATATTGCTGAAATAGGATGAATGTTTGGTATTTTTCATGGGTTGCAGTAGTACTATATTTTCTCTACATGTTGTGGTATTATTTCTATGTTTCTTATTGTGTACCTAACAAATTCTCACCACTACAACTGGTAGCAGAAATTTCAACAAATATCTGTCTATTTTCATCTATCTAATATTTAATATTAATAATTTTTATCTAATATTATTTATAACTATAAATCATCCGAAAGGGAAAGAAATAGTAAGAATTCAATTTGTAAACCGCATTATTTAATTCAATTCCTTAAGCCAAATGTATTTCATCAGTTATGGCAATTATGGATTCACTGCACAGTTTTATCTACACAAAAAATAGAACCACAATTTTTGTACTTTCCATTCGTTTTCCTACATTTTCATTCAACCAGATTGAGTCCCACCAACGCGTTACTAGGTTTTATGATACAATAGTCTGAATGTTGTTTATTTCTCTTTTCAAATATTCAGGCAAACAATCAAGACAGTTAATTTTTTTGAGACGTGGATTTACAATTTTTTATTAAAACACATCAACCATCACAAATATAAATATCTGAGTTGTTTTTAGAGGGAAAGCGATACGAAGATTTTTTATAATCGCAAATGTTATATGCAATTGTTTAAATATTTTAACAAGCATTAAAATGCCCATTTTGGTTGTTTTGATAATACAACCAAGTTGTATTGACAGACGAGCGCACTAAATTGTCATTAAGCAGCCTTAAATGATCATTTTAAAAATACCCTGACAGACGGTATAAATTATCATTAAGAAGTTGCTGTATCATATGTTTTTTGTTATTGAAAAAGCAAAAGAAAAAATTTTAAATTCAAAATGGATAAGCAAGAAAAATTAAAGAAACTTGCTTTAATTAAATATAAAATATATAAAAAAAATATAAAATATATAAAAATATATCGAGTATTTGTATTTACCAATGTTTCCAAATATGTTTTGTTTACATTTTGACAACCAAATAGCTTGAAATTTGTTCCATTTTTTATTTTATTTCGCTTGCATATGCAGCATTACCATTTCTAAAAACCTAAATGATGAATAAATTGGGTTAAATTCGGTCATTTAAAGACCATAAATGATCATTTAAAACTGCTAAAGGAGCAAATAAATTATAATTTAGCCCCTTAATGATAATTTAGCTCCCGTCTGACAATGCTATAAACCTACAATGTATTAAAGTAAAAACTTTACTGAATCTTAATTTGTAGTAAATTAATTTAATTGATTCGAAAAATAATTCTGAAAATACTGACATTTTGTTCCTTGCAAACAAAACTTATTTAATTAAATAAAAAATAGAATGCATGAAAAATTCACGTATGACTGCGCACTTGAAAAAAAAATGGAATTAACACAAAAAAGCCTATAAACCTTGATCACCAGACTAATAGACATGAAATTCAAGTGATTGAAATTGGTATATAATTGTTTTCATAACTGGAGTTTAAAATAAAGATGTTTTTAAGAACCAGCATTTTTTGGTATAAGTTTCTTTGACATGCTTTTATTTATGTATTACTTTTTGAAAAAACTTTTAACTGAATTCTTGTTATAGTCGTTTGCTGCTAAACATTCAGAGGCTGATATTCTTCTTGCTGATGTAACGAATAAATATTTTTACTACACTCGCACTCGAGGATTATTTCGGATCTGTTTTCCAAAAGAGAGACCACCAGTTAGTACAGGTATTAATACACATAAAATTTATATATACTCGTGATATTTTTTATATTGGTTGTTGAAGAAACGAAAAAAATTCTATGCTTGCGGATCTACTATAACAACATTAGGTATTCAATTAAAGGATATTTAATGAATTAAAAATTAGTACACATTGTTCCAGAATCAGCGTCGAGATATATTAAATACTGTCTGACTAAAGATGTTCGATTGCGTGATTTTTTGATTCCCTGTTTCTTGCTAAATATCAAATATGGGTTACCACGCGTAGAATATTTTTCATTTCTTTGAGCAACGAATCACTTCTGAAATACCATTACTTCAATTGATTCAAAACATTTAAAAAATTTTAGTACCTACATATTTATCACCAATTGAAACACACTGCTCAAATATTGATTATTTTCCTGTACTGGATGACGATAAACTTTCGAATGAAGATGCTACATCAAGGTTACATCTAGCTAGATCTTGTGTTGCTCTATATATTATAAGGTTACATTTGAAAAAAAATTTAGTTCATAGGCTAATTTTAATTGTTTTATTAGTTTCTTAACCTTATTTTGTGCATTTTGGACGGGACTTTCTGGATGCTGGAAAAGGTCATCTGGAGCAATTACAGCAACGTCAATATTGCTATTAGCATCTTGTCTACTTGCGGCTGGTGCAATGGGCTTATGGCATACTGTGGAATTTTTTGAAAGAGAAAAGGTTGTCGGCGAAGATTTTTTTCAACAATGGAATACGGTAAAATAAATTGAGAGACTGGATTTATATGTAAAGTTGATATTCATTTAACTATTTTCTATTGTAATCGGTTAGGTTTTAAAAGATAATACCAAAATTGTGTACGATTGGTCTTATGCAGTGGCATGGGCTGGAATAGCAACATGTCTTCTCGCTGCTATTTTACTTTCTGGAGCTGCTGTATGCCTACGAAATGAACGTGAAAAAGAAGAGCAATTAAACTTACAGTACTTGATGCCAGGTAATATTAAATAATTAGCGTTTTAGTGTAATATATATTAAAATATATAAGATTAGGCAATAATATATTCACAATATAACATTTAATAATTCATTAACAAAATAACATATTAAACAAATTAAATTAATAATTTATATATAAGTTTAATATTATATCAATATAGAATAAATACAACTTTTCACATACATATGTATATCTTATAATATCAAACCAACTTTTTTCAAACAAAAGAGTTTGTACTTGGAAACATACATGTTTATGCAGTGATCAAACATAATCGAACACACTTGCAACGCATAAATGTGCTACCTGGTACTCCGCACACAAAGCGGTTATTATTCGCTGAAGCAACAGCTGAAAGGGGAGAGACGAAATTTGAAAGAAATGTATGGTGATGTGAGCTGTAAACTTTAGCCGCACATCTAACCGCTTCGGCAAGTCAACATGTTGAATTGTTATACATGCAGTTGATATTCGAATAGAACAGAAAATTACTCTCATACAATTCCCAATCTCTATTTCTCATATTTCAAGCTAGAGCACACGCACATTATTTTGTTCATTCTACTTTTGTGCACTCTTATGACAGAAATTTATGAATGCAAATGCGTAAAGGGGAAAGACGAAATATGATAGAAATGTTTTGCGATGTGAGCTGCAAACTTATGAGCACAACTAACGACTATAGTTAGCTACTAATTAAATGAGTTTTCATAGACAATAATATTTAATTGATTTTGCTAAAACTTTAATCTTTAAATTTATATATATATATATATAAAAGTAAATAAATAAATTTATATGGATTATTTGACCATTTGCAAATTATGTTAGGGTGTGC